TRRTGSTGGTGSTGGTATTGCTGTTGATTATGGTGAAAATCCTATTTGCAAAGTCAAAATAATTGCAAGTGAAATCAAATGGTAAAATAGATTTGATGAGATGTTTGAACTAGAGATGGAGGAGGAACAGCAAGCTGGAGCTGCTGTTGGGAATGGTCCCTTTGCTGGTGGCAGAAACAATAATTGGAATGAGGAGATCTCATCAGCAATGGATGAATGTGATGCATGCAAAGATGTGCGATCTCCAAGGGAGGATGTCCAATATGGAGAATCTGCGGATAAAAAAGAATTTGCATTACAAAAGGATAGAAACAAGAGGCTTCAAGCTGCTTGTAATCGAGCTGCCATGGCACTGGCTGGTAGCAAGAAGGATGGTGAGGCAACGTCTTGTTATACCCCCACGGTATCGCGCGGTACGGTTACGTACGTATCTGATTACTGTTTTTGCTTCCGCGAGAGGATCAACGGTTGTGTCTCCCTTTTTTTGGTTTTCAACGCATCACAAAAAAATCTTCCGATGCTTGCGATCACGATTGCTCTGACCGATTGATTGAAACTGAAGCAGAAAAAAATYACTTCCTCCCCCACATGCACGGTGGAGTGATTTCAGTGTTCCACACGAAGAGAAMAAACCGCGAAGATGGGATTGTGGAAGGCTAGTTCCAAAAGTTTCCTAGCTTTCACCTTCTTCGCCGGATACATTTCAACAATCATCAATCTCAGATTGTCGAATGATCGAATTCTGAAGCACATCGATTACGACGATTTGGAAAATTTCGCTGCAACTAAGAAGAACGGAGCGAGTATTACACGAGGGACACTATGGGATAGCAAACGTGATGGTGGCATTTACAAACGTGATGCATCCAAAGTGCAAAGAAGACAGCGTACTGCCGACGAAGCTGACACAATTATTGCGAACCCCGCGTACTCGGACTTGAAAGAAGAAATAGCATCAATGGTTGCAAACCAAACCTGGGTTTTCAAAACATCCTACGAACAATCCATAATCATAGCAGGAAAGGRAAAGACGCAACTAGTATCAGAACGACCACCCGGTGCTACCWCGAAATTGGTCTGTCGCGAAACATGCTGCGTCGAACGCGTCTGGATCAGCGCAAACCAAGACGACCGAAAGCTTCTAAACTGGAGAAACGACATATACGAGCTGGGAGACGTTATGATTCAGCAGTTTGAAAACGACGACGCATCGTTGCATGCTACTAATTTACATTCGGAAGATTTGATCCCGTGTTTTGTTCCAAACACCATTATTTCCGTGGATAATTTTGGCAAGTCCATCGATTACTT